TGCATCATTCCCATTACGTTATTTCACCAAATGTCTTTCTGGTGCTCAGCCTGGGGCCCCAAGCAAAAAGGTAGCTACAATAAGGCTCAAAATGAAGAGTAATTACTCTTCAGCATCTGACTCCACATACATGTCCCAGCAGAACAAGGCACGTGCAAACCAAGAAAATTCCCTCTGTCAAGCCTCTATCTATCCCCTAAGACTTTAATAGACTGCTGATTTATACTCAGGTCACCAGGATCTGTTCTCACATCACGTGGTACTGCATCTTTATGTATTTCTAACACTGTTAGATACTGGAAGAAGAGAAGACCACTAAGATCCTCTCTGCACAAGCAATGAAACAAACATTCCTCAAGAGAACTATTCCATTCCTGATACCATAGTGTGGGACAACACATGCACCAAACAGAATTAGCAAACTCACTGAAAAGTGAAAATGTCACTACATATTTGCATCCCCATTGCTGCTGGCACCAGCTGAAAGCCTATTGACATTAGGAACGGAAGGGACCATCTGGGAGACAACTGCAGGCACACATCCCAATCCAGCTGTGCTTCCAGCAGCTTCTTCCTGGCTCAAACCCAAAAAGGAGTAATTTCAAACATCTTCCTGGTGCAGAAAGCCTTCCAGATTCTGCGTACCAGAATGAAATTGATCCTAGCTGTGAGTGAAACCTAACATTTGAAAATTCAAACAGTCTCATAAACAGTCCAGTTTGAATTTTCAAACTGAAATTATTCAAAACCTGCTAAGAAATCTCTGTAATACTGTCCCTCTTGTGACATCCCACTCTTCTTAGAGAATAGTTAAGAAGATCAGAGAGTTCTGCCAAGGAACCATGCTTCCATTTGCAGACATACCCAGGATCTGAGAGAACCTGTGGTAAGCCTGATGCTAAAGGCTTCCACACAGGCGTCTGTATCCTACACACTGCCTCTGAAGTGGTCAGCTGGGCCAAGCAGATTCATATCATGTGAGTGTTTTGCAGTAAGTGGGAGAGAGATCAGGTCATTTAGGGAGCTTTGAAAGCTTTACAGTAACTTGGAGAAACATCGGTATGCTGAAACAGAAATATCTTACAAAGAGCCAGTAGTTCTCAGTCTCTAGCTTCTAGGGTTTAATTACATGATTTAGACACGTTGGATATTTTCGGGAGACATGGCACAGAGCAAAAAACTGTACTTGGAAACTGCAGAATCAGCAGAGGAATCATTTACTTGGCAAGTTTAAGGAGACAGGGGAAAAAAAAAAAAGAAAAGCCTGTCTGAAAATGAAGTCATGTATGTTTCAATGTGCAGGTCTGGGCTGGTGAGAATTTCCATCCTAAGGTGAATCAAGACCTCAAGGATTCAGCTTTCATATGTAAGACTGTACTTTTGAGGCTGGATAGGCTGTGTTCTTACGGTACCCAGCATCTTCTCTGCTGCCAGGACAGCCTATTTTCCGCTCCTTGTCCGTAGCTGTGTGCACACACGAGCATGCGCACACGCGCGTGCACACGGGAGTGGGGGTGTGCATGTGAAATGTTTCAACAAAAATCTTCTTGACAAGCAGGTCTGAGTAGCAGAATGCACAGGGGCCTCTGCAGGCATGGAAAATTGAAACCAGTGACTAGAAGAGCTTTTGTCAGAAGTGGTCTCAAGAACAATCTTCAAGTAGGACCTCTGTGACAGAAGCATCAGCTTCTTTTTAAGTGACTTTTTAAAAGGCAAGACAGTGCCTTCAGTATAAAATAATGTGCCAGGATCTCCAAAAAGTGCACACATTTTAATTGCATTTTTTAAAACACAACATATATTAACAGTACACTTCCTATAAATTTTTATTTCTGGTGGCAGAGGAGTATTTCTTGAAAGCACAACACACACCTCTGAGAAGGAAGTACTAGTGTAGCTGTTTGTTAAGTTTAAAACTCCTCGTATAAATCAAGTGTGAGAAGAGTGACAACATGAAATGTTTTTTTGCTGCTCACATGTTTGACTGCTATGGCTGACACGAGCAATTAAGGAGCTTTTATCCTTTTGGGGGTCTATCTGCATAGCACAGTTGGCAGCACTGGAGAAAGAGAGCTAGTTTGCTGTTGTACAACATCTACAGAATTATTTACAAAATACACCTGTGTTACACTTGTGTACACCCCTGAAGCCCATGACACTTTATGGTTACCTGCCAAAGAGCAATTATGGAGAAAGGAGTGATATCCAGCCCAGGATTTATCAGGTAGAAGCTAAAGTATAAGGTCATAATGAGTAGGAAAACCACTGAATGTGTGGAGTCAGTAGCTGGAAGAAAACCTTACCTGTATTTCTGTAAGGTGATACAAAACTTGCTAACAAAATCAAAATCAACAGCAAGATGTAACATCAATCTAGTATTAAATCAGGTTTAAGGAACAAAAATAGCAAACAAGACTAAATAATGATAATGTTATAGGGGATCATCAGTTTCCCCCTAAACCTTTAATCAACTTCTCACAGAAATAAGTCTTTGAGCTTTTAGAAAAAAATCACGTTTATAACCAAAACCAGCCAATCTGTAATATTCTTAATAAATACTTTTTCATAACAGCATCCTTTTTAGAAGACACTGCCCTCTTGTTTGGTAGCTAAATGACATTATAAAGCTCTAGCTTGACCACACACACCAATTTGTACTTCTTCCACCTTCTATTGTTTATGTGTGCAGTAAACATATGCAACATGGCCACAAAAATGAAAAATAAAAATATATTGTGTAACCTTAAGTGTACTTCAAACGTACTCTGCACTAATCTGTAGGGACTTCAGGTTAACCCTCTGCACAGGGACTGCAGATGGACAATGAAATACAAGGAAACCAAGGTTTTAGGGACAGCAGATCTGGAGAGAGGAGCATTCCTGAACCAGAGAAAAAGCAAGCATAAATCTTCTGACAATCCAGGGGAAGGAACGTTGGCCAAAAAACAAATCTGTCTTAATTGGAGGCACACAAGATAAGGGGGGAGAAAATACACTCATCTCTTACATGACTCTCTGCATATGGCACATGCAGTATCAGAGGGGAGAAGGGGAAGCCATCTGCACCTGGGCACAAAGAGGGATGTACACAGTGAATCTGTACAGGCATAAAGAAGACAATTCTCAGTGGACTGAGGCATGAGCTCCCTTGTCAGACACATCTGCTGGCAGCCTATGGGAGCATGCTGGAGAATAAGCAGCTGTCTCCTTGGAGCCACCAGCTGCCTTCCCTCCAAAAAGGATTTACACTGTGCCATTGGTCAGCCTCCAAGTAAAATACAGAAGGCAAAGACAGTAGCAGCCTTGGGCAAAAGAAAAGAGAATAGACATCTCCTCCCCAGCCCTCTCCAAAAAGTCTCCACAACCTAAGCTGTTCTTGCCACAGATAACAGCTTGGAAGAGCTGAGAACTTCAGAACAATGCAAGAAAACATGCCTTTCTGTGGGGTTTCGGTGATGAAAATAGAAAGACATACAATCCGACTTCATACAATATCCAGTGCCCCAAAGTGATGCTGTTCCCATGTATCAAAACACACGGCCATGCAAATAATTCTGAGCAGCTCAGTGCAAGTGCAAGAATGTCAAATAGGACAGAACTCAGAAATCAAGAAAAAACGTTTAGTGGCTAGAGGGGCACACAAGTCAAGGAATTAAAAACTGCACATGCGTAATTTAGCTAAGAGAGCGTACATGCAAAAAGCAGTAAAGGAAAGGATGCAATTATGTGCAGTTATCTGAAGCCTGCCAATACATTAGTAAAGCAAACTGAAGTAGGGCAAGGTGTTGAATTTAGCGAGTGAACTTCTAGAGAAAAACAGTATTTTTTTTTCTGCAATTAAATGGGGAGACATCAAAAGAGGATTATTAGGTTGGAATTATTTCAAACTGGGAATGAAGAATAGCCAATAAATCTTGTATTAATGGCTTAGGGCAGGTGGATCAGCTCTGACTAAACAAGAGGTGTACCCACATCCAGTTCCATGTTTCGGATTAGAACCCATATAACAATGAAAAAGGAAGCCTCCTCCTTCACTGCATCTGAGGCTACAGATTTGCCTCTGTAACAGATGTATGCGGCGGCAGCCAGCTCTCCTTGACTTTGTTGTTTCCATTTGCCCTCTCACTCCACTTCACCATGAATCCATATGAACTGGTATCATTGCTAGTGAAGGATGCCCCTTGGGAGATTTCCTTCCCCATCTTTACTCTATGACTTCTGGAACCTGTAGGAAAGGGAGGCGATACTCACTCTCCTCCCCAGCCAAATGAATGTGGTAACAGCAAGAGAAACTTCAGAGTAAGTGAAATCATCTCAGTGTATCCCACAAAAGGCAAAATTAAAATTACCCATCACAACAGCCCCTCCCACATTCACAGATTTATTTAGTTTGAGTAGTAGTAACTTGCATCATCTCCTTGAAAAATAGCCTAACATGGCTTTTCTCTGCCACAAGCACTCATACAACCATCTGTCCCCCACAGGAGCGCTGAGCAACCCTACCCACAGACAAGGCCACACAGCCTCCCCTGTGTCGTTCCACGAGGATCGGGAACCCACAGCAGCATCCATCGAGCCCTACTTCAAAGGCAGCATTTCCCTAGGGCTCTTCAGGGGGCTAGAGAGAGGGGAAACACCGCTCACGGGAGCAGACCAAGCGCACCGTGGCCGTGCGGAAGGGCTCTGGGGGTAATCCCTGTGAGCGGAGAGGCCGTGACCCGACTCCCCACCTCTGTCCTGCCGTGCCCACAGCCGGCACCTGACAGCAGAGGCGCGCTCGGGGGAGCGTCCCGGTAACGCAGCCTTTCGACAGCACACGCCGGCAAAGGAGGAAAAAAACATCACCTGCGGACTTTTAACCCCTTCCGAAGTAGTCCTCGTTTGTTCTGTGCCCCCTCCCCCGGATGGCAGAGACCCGCGGGTACCCGCGACCACGTCCCGCCGGCTCCGAGCGCCCCGGCCGGACTCACAATGCCCGTCCTCGCCCGCCGCCGCGGTACCTTGTGCAGGACTCCAGCAACACCCCCTC